CTGAGATCGTACAAATTAGGGGGCTATTCGATTTGTGTACGGACAGTTTTTAGAATTAAATTCTGCATCCCAAAAAAGAGCAAATCAAGAAAAAGATGGCCTTTTCCCTCAAAGGTATGAAAAATATATGATTTTCTACATTTAATAAATTATTTTTCTGGATATCCATATAGAAATACAACATATCTTCTAATGTCTACATCAAAGTCCATTGATATATGACTTATGTTATTTATAACTCACGTATTACATGTATTTACTCAGAGGGAACCACTAAAAGCAATTCAAATGACCCTATATTTTGTTATAGTTGTGTTAATAAAGAATAATTTGGATACTCTTTTCCAATATCAAATGCAGCTTAAAACAAGCGAAGAGAAACTGTACCATGTATAGAAGATAGTTTTTAAAAAGTAGTCATGTTGCAGATTTTATTTAAGAAATAAAATACATGTATACGAGGGTCGTTCAATAAATAATGCAACAAGCAGTATATCATAGTAAATGTAGATCTATTTAATTAATTTTTTTTTTACAGTTGAAACGTTCAATTAAAGAGCTCCTAATCACAGAAAACCCATTGTCCTTGCAAAGAAAATCACTTTTAAAGTATGCATGGTCACTACACTGAGCTGAAAACTGTTTAAAATGATCTCTGCCAAGAAGATGAAAATGAGAGCGTAAGTGAAAACAGTGCTTCTTTACGTAAATCGCCGGAGAACTCATATTAAAGATATGATTTTTATATGTGGAAAGAATAGTCTTTAACGCTGTATAGTTTTCAAATTGGTTCAGAAATTCAAAAGTAAAAAAGGAGAGTTAAAAAAAAGTCAAACTGGTCGGTTGAAATTTGTAGGGACACCAAAAATTATCGATGCTATGTGCAACATGATATCTGAAAATGCCAGATTTACATCCAAAGACTAGAACACTAAGCAAAACGACACTGGTATAGAGACGGGGGAGAGGACACACTCAGTGTAGAAACATAAAGTGTCAAAGTTAATGTATAAGAATTCAGGTTATTGATCCCAGTTTTAAATAATAATTCAGTTCATTGACTCATCTATTACAACATACACATTAGCATCAGTCATACATGCATGCACAGCAATACACACACATATGTATGATTACAAATACAATGGGGTTTCAAATAATTTTCCTCATTTCAAAAGACTCTAAAAAATGAAGTGAGTTTTTTTTTTCTGGAACATCTGTCACTTGTTGGATTAATAATGTTCTTTATCTAGCCACTTTTTAAATTAGAAATAAGACTGCCATTTCGAAAGGTCTAATAACGCCTTTTTTGGCCTTAATATGGAGCTTTTTTTTTTTTTTTTATCTTTTCGTGTATATTGAGTTGACTTATGAATAAAAAATAACTATTAAAAATTGATATATCTAAAATATTAATGTCGAGTTGAAGGCCACAGTGAGTGTTTGAAACATGTACATTCTGCTTCATAAGAATATAAAAACAGGTCGGCTAATAAATGAGCACAATTACTCTCAATCGGAATTACAACAGATTATAGAAAGGCCTGGCCACAAGACCACAAACTGAGAACAGGGTTGAGTCATAATTTTGATTTTTATCTTGAGTTTAATTTAATGAAAATGTTTTAGATTTTGCGAATTAGTTTTATCGATATACAAATACAACACATGATGAAAATTTTGTTTCATTTTCAAAATTATTCCAATAGTTATACCAATTTGAAATTCTGACTTAAGTTTGTTCTCAGGTTATGGTCTTGGGTCCTGGTCTATAAAGGTTATATACGTTGTCAATGCAGAACACCAACATTTTTAATATCAACTTCAGAGTCTTTGCGTGTAGAATAAAACTTATTTTCAACAAAGTAGTTTTGTAGATGACCAAACTCAAGATATGAAAATTTACGAAAAGCAGATGTCTATGATGTCAAAAAACAATGTTACAAGTGATATTTCATCGTAAGGAAAGGTTGCATAAAGTGTTGAAAAGTCATATGTTTTGAAGATATTGACTTTTGAAAAGTTTTGTGATTTTCCAAGCCTTCTTCGGAGTTTTTAAGAATTCATATTTGATTTACACCAAGTGGCACAGTACGTTTGAAGTTTCTCCTTCACAACAGGTAATAATTTGGTGTGTGGCAACGCACTTTGAAAAAATTACGCACTTTGAAAAATTTTTTTCAAAGTGCGTTAATTTTCGGACCAAATCAACGCACTTTGAAATTTTTTTTCAAACGGGGGTGAATTTGGGACCAAATCAACGCACTAATTTGAAAAAAATTTTCAAAGTGCGTTAATAGTGTACATCATAATCTTTAGCCATGTACGCACTTAAAGCACTTTGAAAAAATATGTAAAAAACAAAAATGTTGGTCCCCTACACATGGCAAGTTTGTTAGAAAACTCATTTACATGGAGGTAGTTCACGCGGGGGGGGGGGGGTCTTGGACCTCCCTGGGATGTTCAGAGCAATCAAAAGTTACGGACAAGGTTAAAGTTTTTTGCGGACAAACAGCTAGACAGACGGACGGACAGGGCAAATATTATATACCAGAATCTTAGATTTTTTTTTAATTTGATATAATTATATCTAGCCTTATTATGATATAAAAAATTTAAGAGTTCCAGTCGAATGAGTATTGTGGCTAATGTTTTATTTAATTACTATCAAATTAATCAGTCTAGCGTATGTTCATATTGAATATGATATATATATATATATATATATATATATAGAGAGAGAGAGAGAGAGAGAGAGAGAGAGAGAGAGAGAATTTTCATGGTAGAGAAAAATCATAATTGCTCCCCCCTCCCCCCCCCAAAAAAAAAAGCCATGCTTTAAGTCACATATCGACCCCTTCATCCACTGAACTTATTACAGAATGGATTAAATAAAAAAGGAACGAAATTATGCAATCATTTATAAAAGACCTATTACCCTTTATAACATTTACGAGAACTGTCGGGAAGGAAACAACCCCTAAAAATCTTTAAAACGTCTATATCTCAGAGCCTGAAGTGACATCATCACTGAAAAAGTATTAAACCAGGTTCAAATAATTATTTATCATACCTTAAATTTGCAAGAATATTGACCAAGTCGTGCAAATTTTTTTTTTAAAGTGCGTTAATATGGTCGATGTTAACGCGCTTTGAAAAAAAAGTAAAATTTTTCCAAGTGCGTTAACGTGGTCCCAAAATTAACGCACTTTGAAATTTTTTTTCAAAGTGCGTAATTTTTCAAAGTGCGTTGTAACATTGGTGAGGAGTAAGGATAGCGACTTAGTTGAACATTTACTAGAACCTGTAATATATCTTTGTACGGATTTTTACGAAGTTCTGGAATCCAGTAGGTATGGTAAATCAAAGTCAATTGACTGGAATGTTAAAAGTATATAAAACTGAAACGTGATTTTGAAGAGTATTAACTGTGAATATACATGTATTAAAATGGATTACCAGATGTGGATTATGACCAAGTTCAAAGAACGTGCAGTTGTAATAATGAGCCTTACAAACAAAGATTAAACTGATACATGTTTTATCAGTTGGAACAATAAAGCAGTATAATTTTAACACTTGTAAATAAAAATCTTTTCATCCACTCGTAACATCCGAATAGTTCAGGTTTAAATCAATGATTCAAGTAAAAGAAGCGTGATTTCTCTCTCTGTGTAAAATTTAGTTTGAAATTTAAAATGCATTGCTACCTCTTTCATTTTTCACCTTTTTGATAAATGATGTGGACGCTCTGGCAAACATTAGTTTAGCTAAAAGACAAACTCGTGGCCTGCCTGTGCTACTGAAGCTTTGTGAAAGATGTTGGAACTATACAAGTATTACTAAATTAATTGTTTTGTCTCTTCTCTCTCTAGGTAGACTTGAATCAAAATACTTGACCCATTGTATTATATATATATATATATATATATATATATATATATATATATATATATATATATATATATATATATATATATATATATATATATATATATATATATATATATAATGCACTTCATGTACCATTTGCATGGTTTTGAGGGAATAAACTGAACTGAAAATCATGTTGATATACTCAATATATCAATTACATTATAATTGTCGCTTAACAAGGAAGTTCTCTTTCAATTACATTTTTGAGAGAAATGCGATCTATGTGTACCTGCATTCTTAAGGGATTGGCCGTACATGTTTACATAAATGATATAATTGGTTTAAGTTTTCTTCGTTACCTGTTTCATGCGCTCTTTAATTTTTAAAATATTTCTTATGGATACCTTTGGGCTAAGGCTATGACAGCTACTTTGTTTCCCCCACACCTTGAGTCGGTTAACAAGGTTGTTCTAATGTAAATTGTGAGAAGTAGATATTTCAAAAATTTCAAAACTTCTTTAAAATGGTCAGTATCTGAGTAACCTAATCGCACAGATTGTAAAGAATTTTCTTCTACTTAGTGGAGTTCTAACTTCTCGAAATATTACATAAGGTACTTAGATATCTGTGTCGCTATCTCAAAGTGTTTGGAAAGCTAGGTGAATAGTATATCTTTACAATCGATTATCTACAAACTTTAAATGTTCAATAAATTCCCATGTGAACCTTTTTATCAGTCGTTATTCAAACAAGGTAAAAGAAAATTAAAAAAATAATAACTAATCATCTAAAGTATCACTAAGACATCCCAGAGGTGTGTTATTACGATTATCATTTGGTCATATTCCATGAAACGCTCCACCACAGTAAATGCTATTGGCCTGTCAATGGTCTCTACCTCTCCCTGGTTACAACTGACCATCAGCTGATGACATTTCCTATCCCAAACGAGCCGAGTTTTTATGTATGCTGTACAATGCTTCATAAAACGTAATGATAAATTAAAAAAATAAACCCCACTCCTAATAAAAAGTTTTTTGTGTAAGATTCCTTCTATGCATCGCGTAATCACTTGCCCTCGACGAACCGTGTTGTCATTCAAATTTATAGGATATATATATACAGAGGAAGTATTTGCGTATTAGATGCGCATCTTTACCTCGTCTATAAAGGTTGATTACCTGTGGCTCGTGATAGTGTGACAATTTATCACTGGATCAGGGTGGCTCTGATATCTAAAGATTATATTTACCTTCGACAGGGGGGTGAAAATCGTAAGGTAACCGCCAACACACCAATCTGGATTGCCGGGTGTTTATTGTACTCATAAAGGAATCAATTTCCGAAAATTTAAATGCATCTCCATCGTAAGAATATTATGTTGATGATTTTGACCAAATTTCGATAACTTGTGTTATATAATCGGCTTATGAGTGGAGTGATTAAGCACGAAGAAGGTACCAGTTTGGGACATCGAGGGTGTACAAGGCTCTGTTGGTCCAGAATGGTGACTAGTTTGGATGACATCAAATCTCTCCGCTTCTGGAGAGCGGTGGGAGCCGAATTTCTGGGAACGTTGTTGCTCACGATGATTGGATGCGGTTCTGTAGTGACTTGGGACGAAGATGGGAAATTAGTGCAGATTGCTCTCTGCTTTGGACTTAGTGTTGCAACTGTCGTCTGGATCATTGGTCACGTGAGTGGAGGCCATATCAATCCAGCAGTAACTATTGCTTTCTTCGTGACCAGGCGCATCAGTCTGGCTCGTGGCATCTTTTACATCATCAGCCAATGTGCGGGTGCAGTTGTAGGTGCGGCGATTTTATATGGTTTGACGCCTGCCAGCCATCGCGACAGTGGATCTCTTGGTTTGACCAAAGTGAATCCGTCGCTAACAGGCGCTCAGGCTTTTGGGGTAGAGTTTTTCGTCACGTTTGTTTTGGTGTTGACTGTCTTTGCGTCCTGTGACAAGAAGAGAAGAGATTTGAATGGATCATTTCCTTTGTCCATTGGTCTGTCTGTCACTATGTGCCATTTGTTTGCAGTAAGTACTCAGAAGTATTAGCATGAAATGAGGTGCATGATAAAAAGGGTTTTACAAGTTTTGTCTTCCATCCCTTCAGACGACGATGTTTTATTATTCAATTTTTACAAAAATATGTTAAGAACATCAAAGGAATGATTGCAAATACAGATGCAAATCCTTGTTTTCAAACTGCGCACTTTTCATCCATGCATTAAATTTAAAGTTACGCAACCAATTTTTCAATTTTTTTAAACCGTCCATCATTCTCTGTCTGCCATACATAAACACGCCTTGGAATACCTAATGTTCCGCAAATGGATAGGGAAAAAAGTCAAAAGTGCCCAATTTCTTCTTTTTTAAAATAACATCCTGTTTTCCGTTTCCATCAAAAGTAAATGGCACCTTAAACTTTCTTCCCATATATACTGATAAGTAAAGGTTTTTTTTTCAGTTTAGTAAATCACATGCTGATAATGCCAGGTTCTCGTGTAATGTATACATCAAATACATGTACATTCAAGCATGTGTGGGCTTAATTGTCCCTGTACAGATAAGATCGGATGTATATTAGGCAAGAATGTTTAGTATTCGCTATAAAAAAAAATGTCCCCCATTTAGAATATTTGTCTTCACTGAATGAAATACATGCGTACAATTAAATATCTCTTCAATCATGTCTGTTAAATTTCCTTTCTTTGTTTCTCTTTTATGTCTAATTTGGGTCACGTTCACTTCAGTGTCATGAAATAAGGTTATCTGTAGAAAGGTCACATTTAATGATTTGATCTCATTATTTGTTCAGTTGTTTGTAAGTAAGTAATGAAATTTCGAAAGCTCTAGTCCGGATTCCCGATAAGAAATCGTCATTAAACGAGTTGAGGTTTTGTCAGATATTTTATTAAGTAGTCACTCGATGCCCCCGGGTTATCCTGTATGAAAAGCCAATATTTACATCGCAGTAAAGAAGTAAAAATATCATAAAATACAAATAGACATTATTTCCAATTCCACGAAACCTCACAGGTGTGAGCGTTTATATTTCATCATTATGTCTCCCGCGGTCCTTAAACGAAGGGAGATATTGAACTGTTTTGCTCCAAATTCCTCTTACCATGATTAATTGATACGTTAAGAAGTTCCAAAGTTTCAAAGTCAATAAGAAGAATTTACTACTTCAACCTTTTTCACACTAAACTTCTTATTCAATGATTTGTGCGAAAATTCTTATTTTACTATAACCGCTATCCATCACGTTTATCCATCATCGCCCACATTGGTTTTGCAAAGTAACATCATATTTCTTATAATGTCTTAAAAATACAGTAAATAAGAGATTTTTTATGTTTTTAAATTTTAGGGTTGGTTTGAACATATTTATGGTCTATAAACTAATTGGTAAAAAGATCTCAATTTTAGGCAATGACTCGTGCCTTAACAACGCCAAAAACGCTTAATGTGAACATTAAATATGTCCTCGTTTAATTTGAATTAACATTTCCGATTACTTAAATCTCTGATTCAATTTTATTCTATCAATTTAAGAATTAATTTATTGAATGAATGCACATGTAATAATCGATAATTTATTTCAAAACACAAAATAGTTATTTTATGTACATGTACTCAGTATTCAATAATTTATTCATTCAATTTAGACATAAACTAATTTGATCAATCAAAAACAATCAAATTAGTAAGAGGCCAATTGGGTCACAATTCTCACCGGAATCACATTTATCTTTCCGAAAAAAAAAAGAATTTAGATATATGAATAAAACATCTATACTTAAAATCCACTTATGTAAGCAAAAGTATCTTAAAAATGAAAAATTCATTGTTTAGTCTTGCTGTTCTCTGGGTGCTTGCTTTATAAAATAGCTAACTAATCTTCCGCTCTTGAGAAGATTTCTAGAGATTTTCCGTACATATTTCCCTGATTTTATTAAAACTATTTTCTTCAAGGAAAAAAGCTTGCATATTAATTTAACAAATCATGGATCTGATGTTCCTACATATTTCTGCAGTGTATGTAAAACTACGGTTGGTCCACCCAAGCCCTGGAATGAGGGGAGGGGTGTAAAAATGTACACGACAATATGCTAATCCCAGTTATTGTTGCTTTTCTGGTCCAGAAGATTTCCTGTATACTTTGTCACCTATTGTGGTTATGTTTTACAATGGGGGTAGTAAAAGTAGTTAATCATAGGTGTATCAAGCCCCCCCCCCCTTAATTTTTGAAACTTCTCCCCATTTGCTTTGAGGGAGAGGTGAAGACTCCCTAAATTTTAGACCAACACTATAGGTTAGACCTTGAATAAACCTATACCGTACTGAAAAAAAATTGCACCTACCTACCCTATTTTAAAATTCCATGTAATAGAAAACACTCATTTTTTGGCCTAAACATAGGTTAGTGACGGTTCCTTTGCCAAGCGCCCGGAATAAGAAGTGAAAGTCAAGGGTATTTCGGTTGAGACCTTAAAAACTGAAGGTCCCTTAAAATCTGAGGTCCCGTGCCACGGTAAGCGTTGACACGATAAAGAACCCTCGCTGCTCAATGGCCCTGAGTGCAGAGTATGTCTAAATTCTCGAATGGGACGAAAAACAACGTACAATCAATCATCACCAAATAAGATATGTTTGATAAGAGAATTTTAAAATGACACGCTTTACATTATCTCCCCTTGAAGGAGCATGGCACTTTCTTTTAACAATCTTTATCACCCCTCATTCAATGACTCTAAGCATCAAGTTTGTTTAAAATTGACCCAGTGCCTAGAGAGAAAAAAAGACAGACAAGCAGAAACGGACAAACTTTAAAATTTGATCACAAAAGCTCGCGTGAGCAGTTTGGTTAGGATGAGGAAAAAGTAGCAGTGATTTCATGCATGAATATGACAGCTGAAATAATTAGCACCTTATATCAAAATATCTGTTTACTTTGAGATATTTTACAGATTGAGATATCTCTATTCATTTGAGTTAATGGAGTTTTGTAACTTGTGTGCCTTTTTTCTATTTGTGCTAGTGTCTAGGGAAAATTACATCTTAAAATGAATTCGGAATGATCTGGTATTATAAAAGGTCATGATTATGTAATTTCCCGCTTCGAATCAGCAGGTAAGAACATCTAAACTTGTGAACAGGAGAGAACCCCAAAACTGAACTGAATTTGTAAAAAAAAAATAATTAAAAAAAAAAAAATACATACCCTTTAAATACAACCATGTATTTATTACTAACTTTGAGCAAAAAAACTATCTTCATCTCTGATTAAAGAAATTTTTAAACAAGATAACATCGTTACTATATTGTACACTTTATTAATGAAGAATGTATTGATACTATAAGACACACAGTTTCCACTAATTATAAACATTCTCGATTCAACTGCATGTATAATTAATTGTGCATGAGGGACAACGCAGTTCTATAAGCAGCTGTACCTCAGAAACAGAATTAAGCATGCATTTGCATTCTATACACCGTGATTTGTGTCTGACGATTTTGATGGAATGCTGAGGGGACTCAGTTCTTGATTGAAGTATTGTTGTCTTTGGGTGAACAATGCACATAAACATCCAGTTGAAGACAAGTTATTCTTTTATGCGCATAATAAGCCCATTGATGAAGTTAAAAGCCGTCTGATCTGTTTTGAAGATGTCATAAATTCTATTAAAAAATTATTTTCCGTTTATTTCAATGATTCAAACCACTAGAAAAGATCTTATTGTGAACAACAGTTTTCGATTGGTAAAAAAAAAAATCCTTGACAGTAGACAATTTTCAAGCTTAAACGAAATCATACTGAGGATCAGGAAAAAAAACTTTTTTTTCTTTTTATATTTAGTTATTCAACTGTAGATCATAATTCTTGGAGATTTTTCTACCCCCCCCCCCTCCCCAGCAAAAAAGGGTTTAAAATGGAAAAAAAGTTCCACAGATTTTTAAGAGGATAAAACCATTTTCCGCTAAGAGAGAGAGAGAGAGAGAGAGAGAGAGAGAGAGATGTAAGGAGAACATCGCCCACAGAGGGTATAGAATTACGTGGGTGGGGAAAGTAATAGGCTTGCCGATATCTCTGAAACGAATGCAACCAGGAATATATTATTTTGAATTTTCAGTATCAACATGAGTTGAACTAAAGTTGAAAAAAAATAAGAAAAAAAGAGCATAGAATTACTATAACTTCTTTCGTTGGAAACCTTAGAGATTTCTAAAGTGGTTCCAGATCATACTATGGGACGCTCTACAAATGCCAGCAACTTTTCATTGCAATTCTTCCTCTGTTAGTTTTCCACCTCCATTAGTTTGCACTTTTTTTAATCACAGATCCAGTACACCGGCTCTAGTATGAACACTGCCAGGAGTTTTGGTCCTGCTGTCGTCATGGGCTTCTGGGAATACCATTGGGTAAGTTTGTAAAATCAGACATGCAGAGGATAAACCTAAATGTGATTCTCGTTATCCCTGGACATGGTTCTGAAAAATTGCATGTTTTTCATGACGCTATTAATATGAATTTTCCATATCGATTCATTGATCAATAGGTAAGTTAGTAGCTGAATCGTCGGTTTGAACCCACTTTCCTGTTTCTTAAAAAATAACTAATGTGGTAAAGGTTAATAAGGGAGATGCAATTAATTTTGTTAGAGGTATGCATAAAGGTAAAGGTAAATCTCCTCATATTACTGCATGGACAGATGCCGTCTAGACCTGGAGGTTTGTTAGTATTGTTTGTAATTAACATAACACTTCCTGTTCTATAATGATAGATTAATCAAGTTTATATGATCTACATACAGACCTGGTTCACATTTGGGAAAAAACTTATTTCCAAAGGCATTAGCTTTATTGGTGGGAACAAACGGTACACGTTTGTTTTTGCTGTTTTTTTTTTTTAATTTGCTAAAAGGCAGTGCTTTATGATTACACATTTATTCAATTTTGATTTTACTATGCATGTGTACCAGTAAGTTTCTTTCAGTATCATCCCTAGAATGTTCAACTTCATTGACGGCGCACTTCATTTTGTTACCAGTGTAGACGATTCCGAATTCTACATGATTTCCCCATGACGGCATTATTGCCCTTCTAGGGTTTTTATATTTCAATAGTGCATTACCTGTGACAAGACCTTTTTGGATATATACTTTGATTTTTGACCTCATGACCTTGAAGTTTGACCTACTCTTCAAAATTTTGAACTTTGGTAATAACTCTTGAATGAGAGAAGATGGGTCTTTAAAAATTTCACATGCATTACCTGTGGCAAAATATACATTGATACCATAACTTTGATATTTGACCTATTTTTCAAAATCAATTTCTGACCTTATGATCTTGAAGTTTGACTACTTTTCAAAAATGTTAACTTGGCTGTAACTTTTGCACCAGAAGAGATGAGACTTTCACGTTTTTTTTTTCACATGAGCATTACCTGTGTCAAGACTTTTACGAATGTGCCATGATTTTTGACCGCATGTCTTAGACCTTGAAGTTTGACTTTCAAAAACATTACGCGTAATCTTGGTCGTAACTTTTGCACCAGAACAAACAATCTCCCTTACAGAGCTCTCGTTCGTTCCTCTCTCGGATATGAGCCGATGGTAGAGAGTGCCAGAACATATTACTTCAAAAATTAAAAGCTTTTTATATATAACATGATGGAAAGACAATACAGGACAGATAAGACGGTTACATGTACAATATGCTATACATTACCAATAGATCCTAGAACCCGAAAGCGAGGGGGGGGGGGGGGGGTTACAATTCTCGGATTTCGCTTGTTCATAATTACTTGACTCCAGTACCTTTGCGTATACTTATTTAAGTATCACCAATTGTCAAGTTTATAAAAGATACACGTATCTATCTTGCATTTGCAATACAAGATACTATAGCGGGTATAATTTTAATAAAACTGTTGATCCCTATTGTACCACCTTTAGAGTAAAAAGGGCCATGGTTTGAGCCAGTATGTACGCATGTATAGATCTATAGGCAGATTAACATTATTTTTACCTAATTATAGAAGGAAGCTATGACGTGAAAAAAAAACGTTGATTGTTCAAAGAACCATGTTTAATGGCATGTAAATATCTGTATGGAGGTCATAGACCTTCAAATTCAAGTCGTTCTTCGAAATGTACAACACAAGGTATAAAGACTTTTTTGGTTTGGTAAAGCCTGTGTGGTATTGAATCATATACTTTGTGTGGGAACCAATCATTCTTCTTGGTAGTAGTAAGAACATTACATTCAACATTTAATTCAACACACAAAATCAAATTATCAAAGAAATGGAAATGTACATAATCAATCATTACATATTAATAATTATATAGAGATAATTAATCACTTGATAATATAATTAGTCTTTATCATGATTTGCTTTCTATGAGTATGAACGTTTCGGCATTACGTATAGCATATACATAAAACATATGATCCATAATGATATAAACGCAAAGAAGATGTCTTAAGTATACTATTATAGTAGGTACTTTACAATGGTTTAAAGTCGTTACACATAAAAACCGTATATTCTTGTTTTATTAAATTTTGATTACCATGATATTTATACAGTGTCACAGAACAATTCTCATTCAAATGGTTATTTACAGACGCGGATCCAGGGTTTTTTTCCGGAGGGGGGGGGCACCACAGTCAAAAAAATATTTCTACCCAGAAATTTCTTGACAAGCAAAAAGAAAATAAACAAATAAATAAATAAAAATAAAATAATAATAATAATAAAATAAATAAATTTTAAAAAAACTCCTTTCCCAAAAGTATCGATCCCAGAAAATTTCTTGAAAGCCAAAAAAGTAAAATCCATTTCCAAAACGTGAAAAAACCTATTTCGTGGTAGGGTCCACGTTTTCTTGGGAAGGGGGGGGGGTTAAAGTCATTTTTTTTATTTGCTTCAGTACTAGTATATACTTTTAATAACTCTGCAAATTCCGGGGGGGGGGACCCCTTCTAGATCTGCGCATGATTTAGAATGCTAATCAGATCATTTGCACATTTATATCTACATTTTAATACTCTAAATGTATTTATTAATACATTTAGTTTCATTTCCGAATATTTTTAGTCTTCCGACTGTACAACTTAAATTATATCCGAATCTCATAATTTTAGACGTAAGCACATTTTTCACCCGAACCTATTTTATCTTTGTTAGGTATACTGGTTGGGCCCTTTGTTAGGCGGACTCGTCGCCGGGCTTCTCTACGACAACGTGTTCGCTATGAACGCATCTCTCCTGAAGGCACGCGGATTTCTGCTATCAAGTGAGTACGACACTGAAAAATTTCCCGCCAGTAAACCCAAGATCCGGGTCATTCAGGAGGAGGACGAGGAGGATGAGGATGATAGGGACCCCCTCAGCAGCTCATTCGACTCACAGAGGGAGGAGCAAAAGCGACCCGAATCTCCATAGCAACTGATTCCTAAAGCTTTAACAACATACTCGCATGCTTTTGAAATGAATGTCTGTTGAAATGAGAGTCAAAGACGCTTTCTTTATACAGCTGTTGTTTGTAGAATGACTTTTTCATCTAAATTTTGTACATTTTTTAGTATTTTATATATATATATATATATATATATATATATATATATATATATATATATATATATATATATATATATATATGTTTGTTTTCTTTAAAAGTGTATAATGATGTAAATATAATACATATAACATCAGAGACACAATTCTGAATTACTTACAGAGGTGTTTATAGAAAGAAATTCGGGATGAGGTTGGGTGACTTGAAAATGCCCCAGTTAAGCACGTAATTGAAGTAGATGATTTATACTAAAGACAAACCTCTAATCAAAGAACTTCTAGACATCTGTATATCTGCCTATCTGGAGAAAAAATAAACTAATATGGAACAATGATTCATAAACATAATTCTTTTAATACAATATAATCTTGTAAAGTGAGTTGTATAAAGTATTCTCTGAAAGTATACAAAAATGGACTAGAATACATTGTACATTTATATAAACTAGGCAAGTGATCTCAATCCTAATAAGGATCTCATGCCTCCAGGATTATAGCCTTCATCTGTCTTTATCTTAACCTAATTACAGAGGAATTCATCAGAAACTCTGTTACCTTGGATAGTTAGAATATGATGCACTGATCTCATTTTGAATTTCACAACACATATAACATGCATTAAAAATAAACATTAATAAATAGACTTAGGCTTACCTCTTCTCATTTAAAATGGAAACATTTCCAATGTGTCAATATTGCTCAAAGTTAGGAATAGTTAGGTATTAAAAAAAATATCAGCAAAATAAGTGCATATACAGTAACTTGCTGTCATCTTGATCATGATTATCAAATTACTATCTTTGTTGATAAGGAATTGTCACCCTATATATTAAAATGTTAGGTGATTTAGTATTGAGTAAATTTAAATTTTTTTAAAAATCTAACAAAATTCCAAATGATTCTCACTGAAATACATGTATATCTTATAAACTAAGAAAAAGAGTATTTATGGTGACTAAACAAAATTATTACTGGGACAGCACCATTACAACGTTAGTGTTGTTGGCTACTGATAAAAAAAATATAATACTGATATCCTTTTATATTATAATATTTAATTAATGTGAATAAAAAAAATACATGTACACACAAAGAAAATCTTAGCCTAATGTAACTTTAAACCAGGAGTTTCTGAGTTCTATGAATCTGTACCTATAATTGTGGAAGAAACTTGTAGCCCAGGTGTTGATCCAAATTTTTTTTAAAAAAGAAGAAGGGGGGGGGGGTTTCCACATAATCTCTAACAGATGTCAGGCACCAAAAAACCCGGATAAGCCTATTTATTAATTATATTTGGGGGGTGAGGTGGGTGAATTTACTTTCCCATTTTAAGAGAGGTCTGTATTTTCTGAGGGCATGCGCGGATCTGATCTAGAGAGGGGAGGTGGGGGGGGGTACCCCCCATTGAATTTGCAGAGTTATTAAAAGTATATACAGTTCTAAGAAAATTTGCAGAGTTATTAAAAGTATATACAATTCTAAGAAAATTTTTTAAAAAATATGACTTTGGACCCCCCTAGAAAATGTGGACACCACAATCACCACTACAAAATAGGTGTTTTTCATGTTTGGGAAATGAATTTTATGTTTTTTGTTTGTTCGTTTTTGTTTTTTGTTTTTGCTGGTAAAGAAATTTTCTAGGTTTAAAACGTTAGATTTCTTTTTGACTGGGATGTTACAAAGAAATTCTTAACTCTGAAAATCACAGGGAAGTCCTGACACCCCCCTCCCCCATCTGGATCCGTGCATATAACCTCTTTTGTCTCCCCACATTAGTTAAAAACAGTGATATATATTAATTTGGATGTACTTTCGTCTGTCTGTCATACTGTCTGGCATGTGTAAAGTTTTAATTTGCACTTTTCAATCTCAATTCCCTATGACTTAAAAAGACCCCTTTGCTTTTTGGATCAGAGATCAAGTCAGAAATTCACATATTGAATAAAATGGTTTCCAGATGATGTCTTTAGTTCTGTTTGAGTTTGTGCAGCAAAATGTTTTGTAGTAATTTCCCACGGCTTACAGAACACCCCTATTGATTTTGAGATCAAAAGGTCAAAAAATCATTTATTGCACAAATTGATTTCCAGATGATAACACGTTCTCTTTGAGCTTTAAAAAAGAAATTTTACATCATATCTCCCTTTGACCACAGGGGAATCTTACGTGCTCTGTTCACTATTACACATATCATAAACGTGTATTTATTATTTGTGTAAACGAGAACAGCGGATACGATGCCCCCATGCTTTGACTTACAGAAGACCCCTTTCAATTTCAAGGTCAAAGTCCAATGTCAGAAATTCAGGCTTAAGACATCCCAGACTATAATTTTAGTTTTCTCAGAGCTTTTGCAATGAAACATCAGATGATGACTCCAACTGAAGACTCTTTTGATCTTAAGGCCAAAGTGTTAAAGGTCAAGGTCAATCTTCTTCATCTATCTTTGTTTTTTTTTTGGGGGGGGGGGGTCATCCCCCATTTAATTTGTACTGAAGTGGAAGTCAAAAATTCCCTAAATTATCCTGTTTATATTTTACTGAGTGATGTATCTTGATGTTTTCTAAACTTGTATTAACAAGTTTTATTAATACCAAAGAAACTGTATGAGAAGTTTGTTTCCAGAAAGCCAGACAATTATAAAAAGGACACTATACTAATGCAAATTTGACCAGTAGAGCTAAAAATCAGTATTTCAATGTATATTAATAAGTAATTTTCATCCCCCAGGCTTTCACTTATTTTAATTTTCATCCATATAACCCTATCTAAAGACCCCCTCCCCGCAAGCAAAAGACAATTTGGTAATAATGAAATACTGATTTCTGTTTTTGATTGATGTATAATTTTATAATTTACATGTGTATGTACTAGCAAGAGGATGAATAATGTAAGTAAGTGCACCATTTTCAGGAAGAGACAAAAAAATTCAAGACCTAGCTGTACTGCTTGAGAAAAAGTCTATAAAATCTACTTAACATACATGTACCAGCTGTTTGCTAAATTAAAGTCATGAAGCACCATTAAACACTCAGAAGGAAGATAATCCAGCAGTACATGTCTCATCTGAAAGTCTCCATATGTCATAGGGCTGTGTATGGAGCAAAAAATTTTGATAGGATACGATATTTTATAATGCGATATGCAATGTATTGGATTCTCTAACAAGTTTATCAGAATAGACTTTTAAATCATTCAATGCATGAATTTTATAAAAACTAATTTTTTTGCAACTCATTTTAAAGTTCTTATCTAACTATCATTACAAATTACACTTCAAATTCAAACTTTAACAACTGTAAAATCAACGTTAATTTAAGTTGTCTATGTATTTTGTAATAATCATCTAAGATGAGCTACCTCCTTAATGATTATATCATTTTTGATCAATTTTAATTCAAAATAATTAAATATAATCTTTGGTGAATGAAATTCCAAACTTTTTTTTACAGAATTATATGAACAAGAGGCCCAAGGGCCTTGAAGCGCTCTTCTGATAAACTGTACAACCTATCACTTCTATTTGATGATTCTAATCCAAATAGTAGCCAAAAAATATCAAAATACAGCCATAAAATTTCAAAAGTAGGTCAGGGTGACCTACTTTTCAGTTGTCGTACTCCAAAGACCCAAGATGCATCAACTGACAAAGTTTGATGATTCTAAGCCAATTAGTTCCTGAAATATTTAATTAAAGCCATAAATTTTCAAAAGTAGGTCACGGTGACCTACTTTTCAGTCGACTTACTCCGAAGAACCAAGATGCATCAACTGACAAAGCTTGATGATTCTAAGCTGATTAGTACATGTACCTGAAATATTTAATTATAGTCATATAAATTGAAAAGTAGGTCATGGTGACCTACATTTCAGTCAACCTACTGCGAGGACCCAAGATGCATCAACTGACAAATTTTGATGAATCTTAGCCAAATAGTACCTGAAAATATTAAATCCAGCCATAAAATTTTCAAAAATAGGTCAGGGTGACCTACTTTTCAGTTGTCGTACCTCAAGGACCCAAGATGCATCAACTGACAAAGTTTGATGATTCTAAGCTAATTAGTACCCGAAATATTTAATTAAAGCCATAAATTTTCATAAGTAGGTCACGGTGACCTACTTTTCAGTTGACCTACTGCGATGACCCAAGATGCATCAACTTGCAAAGTTTTAAGATCATAGGCCTTAAAATGTCCAAATTACGCCTCTAAAACACTTTGAAATCAAATGCATGCAAAGTTCAAAAAGTAGGTCACTGTGACCTACTTTTTAATACATATGTTTTATGGCCCCAAGATGCATCATCTTGCAAGATTTCATGATTCTAATCCTCTCAGTATTCGAATTATTGACCTTAATTGTTTTGTAAAAGATTAGCCATAAATTTCAAAGAGTAGGTCAAGGTGACCTACTTTTTAGTTGATGTACTTCGAGGACCCAAGATACATCAACTGACAAAGTTTGATGATCATAGGCCTTAAATTGTTCAAAATATGCCTCTAAATCATTTTGAAAAAGAATGGCCGCAAAATTTAAAAAGTAGGTCACCGTGACCTACTTTTAAGTCAACATGATAAAAAGTCCTTAGATGCATCAACTGTTAAGATTTGATGATCCTAGTCCTTATAGTAAGCAAAATATGAACATTTTAATAAAGTGTAATTTTTGGTCAACTTTTAAGTGACCTTGAGACCATGCCCTTTGCCCCAGGGTGATGCCTTGAACAATTTTTAATCTACAACATATCCTCACCCTTTTGTGTAAGTTTGGTGATAATCTGCCCAGTGGTTCTTGAGAAGAAGATTTTTTAGCAACCAGTACTTTTGTTTCTATTTTCCTAATTATCTCCCCTTGTTTAAGGGTCACAACCCTAGTTTTAGTATAAACAGGAGCCCTTGGGCCAAGGATACCCTGTGACAAATTTGACAATAATTGGCCAAGGGGTTTTTGAGTTATGGCCCATATTCTAAAAAGTTTACGCACACCACACAAATGGCCATAGCATTAGCTCTTTGAGCCTTTGGCTCAGAACAGCTAAAAACTGCCTGCCCGATACATATTGGAAGTTATTCTTTCGATACGATATATTCTTGAATATCCATATGTATCGATATACAGCCCTAATATGTCAACAGTACCTGTATGTCTCATCTGAAAGTTTCCATATGTCAACATGTGCAAAGTTCAAATGTATTGAGATTAGTGAGATTTTTATGACATTATGATAGGTTTAGATTTTCTCCTTGTATCCTTTTTATGGAGATGACTTTAGTCTATTACCAATTAGAAAAGCTTAAATTCAAAACAAAAGATTCATCACTAGAAAATAGTTTTACAAAGAGAAAGATTCCTTTGACATTTTACTGCAAAATTTCTACTGAATATACACGGGTATGTACTAGTTTATCCAAATGTTAATTCTTCTGATTTCTTATCAGTGATTGAATTTTTTTCAACTTATTACACTACATAGCCTTTCATCATTAAATTTGTTTGAATCACATTGGAAAAAAAAATATAGAACAAATAATTTCCATTAACACTGTTACATTTTGTAAGGAAAAATATATCTGTAGCATTTGCACAAAATCAGAAAGTTTGAAACCCATATGCCTATCATATTGGTCAATCCACCCAAATATCTTCTAAAACCTTTTTTAAGCATATACATGTACAGTTATAGAACTTCCATAAAATCCTCTGATTCCAGCAGTTGTCTCCTCTTAAATAGATGGCACTGTATTCTCCATCTCCTGTATCCAACAAATGCTGTCAGTCCATAAACCAGGACACAGATGTATCCTAAAACCTGAAATATATGTACATGTGGTAAATAAGAAATCCATGCATAATCATAATTTAGAGGTTTATTTTCCCCCATGCTATTTTTACCATATTAAACATTCAGTAAAAGATTTTGAGATTTTGAGAGAGATAACTCTGTCCTTGTTGAATTTGCCCCATTAAAATTTTTTTTTGGAATATCAAGGGCAAAAAAAAAGGTGAAAATATAAAAAGGGGATGAACAATTTCCTGGTATAAAGAATAATTATTTTTTATGTTCCCATAATCAAAGATTCAGGGGCATATCATGTTTCCCCTGTCTGTCTGTTTGTCTGTCCACAAAAACTTTAACCTTGCCTATAACTTTTAATTGGTTGAAGCAGTGTTTGAAACTCATGGTAGAATTAGTAGACATGCAGGGCTGACTGCTAGTGAAAGTTGTCAGCCCTGCCAAAACTCTTCTAGCCCGAGAAAATAAGTCTTTTATAAATGTTTTTAGCAATAATGTGAATGGGGCACGGTCACCAATACTTCCATCCCAAATCTATAGGATGTCGAATTCTACCCCTTTGCTTGTTACAGTTAGCTGCCGATACTATTAGTTGATTTGAGAGATTTTGTCAAATATATAAATTTTAATTTATGGCAAATTTTAACACGTCCAGCCGGACTTTGATACGCGCAAATCTGTTCGTCCGCGGCAAAATTTGTGCATCTTGGGCGGTCGGGTGCACGGTTATTTCAAACACTGGTTGAAACTTCATGTATGGCTTTCATATTTCACATGTGTATTCCTTGTGACAAGACCTTTCTTTGGATACCAACATATTTAACTTCATGACCTTGAGTTTAATCCACTTTTGAAAAATTTCACCAAACTTTAACCTCGGTCATAACTTTTGACAGGTTGGTGCTTGGGCTTTCATACTTAACATGTTTATTCCATGTGAAAAGACCTTTCCTTGGGTACAAATATTTTTGACCTTGGAGTTTGACATACTTTTGGAAAACTTTAACCTTAGCCATAACTTTTGAATGGTTAGTGCTATGGCTATGCTGAGAAATTGATAGAGATCACCGGTACACAAACCAATGCATTAATATCATCTCTGAAAGATTTATATATATTATAGTATTATACATTGTACTTACAACAGAAATAATGAACTTTGTGGACAAATCTTCTGGCAAGTTTCCTCCCATCAATTTTAAATGTTCAATATAATTGGCAACAATAGATGTGGAGATAAGATAGGAGAGTGAAAACATGGAATACAGTAAGAAATCCTTTGGAAAGAAAGAAAAGAGTGGAATATAATTTTATAAGAGGAATTAATAAAAAAGTAGTGAAATATGATTAGAAACTGTCTTAATATACATTAAAATGATTAAAACCAAAAATTAAAATACAACAACAGTAATAAAGTCTATGAAAATTTATATTATTCTCACCAAGAGCCACCAGTTAACTGGAAGCATTTGGTCTGACCCTGTCACTTTAATCCCCCAGAAGACAAGGCTACTGAGAGAGGACCATACTATCACAAAAACAAGGACTCGCACATGCCACCTCTGGGGTAGGGACAGAAAATCACCCCCATCAATTCCCGAGCAGGTCACTAGTGCCATAAAACAGCAGAGAGAAAGCAGCTGTAAGAAAACTAATCATATTCATGTATGTAACAGGTGGGGAAAAATGTCTACCAGAATGGGTATGGAACCCAGGATTTTCACATATCTTGTATAGTTAAGGAGGTTTATAACACAGAGATAGGGTGGCTGTAAGAAAACATATATATATATACAGAGAGAGAGAAAGAGAAAGCACAAAGAAATTCACTTTTACAAGGATACCCACTTCCGCCCCAGCCCGGGGTTGAACTCTCGACCTACGGAATCTGTCTCCTAGCAGTACAGGAACAGCGCGCTAGATCGCTCGGCTATCTAGGCAAGTCAAAAAACTTGCTTTCGATGCCAATGGAATTCTCACGGCGCTGCCCTCCCCTGCGAGATGATATTCATGACTTAAAGAACTTTTATGAGTTGTTCATCATTGTTCATGAATGCTCATAAAAGATTCATAATAGTTTCATAAAAGTAGTTCATGAATTTAATTCATGAACACATTCATACTGAAAAAAATTTATACTTCATGAACAATGATGAACCTTTATGAAATTCGAAAATCTTCAACAATACACTACACGGTCATTGAGAATGAAAGTAAGATACAGTTATTTGGACATTAGTTTTATTAGAGGATCGTTACCAATACATGTTGTAATGAATTTTAATTTTTATTTATAAAGCACATTTTACAACAACTCTTAAACTAACATAACTGCCCTAAATGAAGAAATATTAATACAGAAAGCACAAAGAAATTCACTTTTACAAGGATACCCACTTCCACCCCAGCCCGGGGTTGAACTCTCGACCTATGGAATCTGTCTCCTAGCAGTGCAGGAACAGCGCACTAGACCGCTCGGCTATCTAGGCAAGTCAAAAAACTTGCTTTCGATGCCGATGAAATTCTCGCAGCGCTGCCCTACACTACACGGTCATTGAGAATGAAAGTAAGATACAGTTATTTGGACATTAGTTTTATTAGAGGATCGTTACCAATACACGTAATGAAATTAATTTTTATTTATAAAGCACATTTTACAACAACTCTTAAACTAACATAACTGCCCTAAGTGAAGAAATATTAATATAGAAAGCATATATATATATATATATATATATATATATATATATATATATATATATATATATATATATATATATATATACATTCAACATGTATTTTGCTTAGAAAGTGTAAGGGAAGCTACGGCATTCAAAACACCATAACACGGACAAGGGGTCAAAAGGTTAAAGTACCCGGTATGCGTTTTATTTTGACGTCACAAACGTTGAACGCCATGAAAGTGCAACGTCATAAACGGAAATCAAAATTCACGCTCACATTGAACAGAAGCTGTTGCAACAGCTCTTCCATTAATTATAACTTACCCGAAAAGGATAATACAGGGATTTTGAAATATAAATCACATTTGCAGTCAAGGCAAGGAGTTAAAAATGTAAATATAAGCATTAAATCATTATTTTTTGAAAGATATAGTCTCATAACTGCAACGGTGTGTGCAAACATTTTCATAACGCGCTAACGTGCGTAACTCAATTTGTTTCCACACACCGCTGCAGTTATGAGACTATATCTTTCAAAAACTTGTGATTCAATGCTTAAATATATATATATACATTTGCAGTGTTTTTCTACTAAGCTAACTGTGCAACTGATTTGAAAGTCATTTTTGTGTATACTCACACGTAGAAATATTTACATTCCACATGTATTTTGCTTATAAAGTGTAAGGAAAGCTACGGCATTCAACACACCATAACACGGACAGGGGGCCAAAAGGTTAAAGTATGCGTTTTATTTTTACGTCACAAACGTTGAGCACCGTGGAAATGCAACGTCATAAGCGAAAATCAAAATTCACGCTCACATTGAACAGAAGGCTGTTGCAACGGCTCTTCCATTAATTGTAACTTACCCGAAGGATAATACAGGGATTTTGAAATATAAATCACAATTGTAATCGCTAACGCGCGTTACTCAATTTGTTTGCACACACCATTGCAGTTATGAGACTATATCTTTCAAAAAATAATGATTCAATGCTTAAATATACACGGTGAAACTCGCACTATAGTGACGTCACAAGGCTACAGAAACGTAAATAAAAACGTAACGATATAGGGCAGCAAGAAATTCAAATATTGAGTATATTATTGGTGCTTTTAAACTTATAAAATGTAAATATAAGGAATAAGTTAAGTGTGAATTATTGTAAATCACACAGACTTGCATGAAGCATATTTTTAATGAAGCACTAGCTATATGTAACAAATGGGGGAAAATGTCTACCAGATGGGAAATAAACTCATTTTGTATGATTGCCAGGAAGATTTTTTTAGCCACTGTCATATAGTGTAGTTGGTAGAGCACCTGTCCAGGAGTTAGAGTTACAGTAAGCTCAGTTGGTAGTGTAACAGGAAAGGAGAAAACGCATATGGCTAGACAGGAAATCAAACCCGGGACCCCTGCATCACCAGTCAGGTGCTCTACCGACTGAGCTACCCAGGCCAATATCTACAGCCCAAACCATTACAGTAGAATATACTTTAAAGTTAGATAACCTAACATACATATTAAGACATTTGAATAAACTGATAAATTGCATCTTCGCTAGCCAAGAGTTTCTGATACGCTACTCTCCTCATAAACCCTTGGCATACGGTGCTGACAAAAGACAGGATTGTTTTCGTCACGTGATCACGATTCTTACCAGGTACGCACAGATTGTGTCATCGACAGAAATAAAAAGCGTATTTAAAAAATAATGTTTTTAAAGAATAATTAACAAGAGGGTACTGAGTTATGTTAATTTGTTATTTAAACATGTTAAATGCAAATCTACATCTTCAGTATTGATTCTTAATCACATATTTTGCACGTAGCTTAAGATATTGGATGACACCATATTGCTACTCATAGAATGGCATGTTATCTTACGGATCGTTGTTTACTTGCGTTTTTTTCATCCCCGATATATATCCCGAACGCAAATATCGTCATTTACAAAAAACAATTGCTGACTGGTCGAACGATGTCGATTAACTCCAATCACAACTTGAGAAAAAAATCCCAACTTTTTTTAACCCTTTCGACGCCAAAGCGACATAAATGTCGTTTACTGTGTCAACGCCAAACCGACAAAAATGTCGTTTTTCAATAAGTGTTTTACTTTTTCTTTTATTAACCATATACCTTACGTGTAATTTAACACAATGATATTTATATTTTGGCACAAGTATAGGTCTTTATTTTTACATAGGTACTGGTCTAAATATGACGTCATATTTCTTACGTTGACGTTAAATAATGACGTCAGTTTTGAAGTACGCTAGTATTGTAAATAAAGTATGGCGCACTTTCAAAATAAGCAATTTTATGTTTCATTGTTGCCGGAAAGTTTTACACTTATTTTCTTCGTGCCTACATGCATACATATTTTTGAGGGGGAGGGGATGGGGAGATACGTGTTCTTTATATTATAAGTGGTTCTTTATTTTGAATAACAACTTATAAAATATATTGAGCCATTTTATTCCCTAGTTAATCATATTGATATACACGATTACACAGGCTCAGGTGTAGCGTCGATTTCAAAATGATTGTTGGGGGGGGGGGGGGGGGGCAGAGATAATTGACAAGAAAAAAAATCCGAATAAAAAGCAACCGTGAAAAGTTCAACCTGAAAAAGCGACCCCAACTTTGTTCGGATATTAATACTGATAACATGGGATATTTGAAGCTACTACAACAACAAATGAGGAGGGGATGGGACAAACAGCCCCTATATAAATAATTGTATACTAAATTAACACACAATTAAACGGAGGATTTGGGCACAAATTTTCCAAAATGAATAAATAAGTAAATAAATTTTGCTATAAAAGAATTTGAATAATGGATCTTCAAGAGCATTATACTGTGTGCATAATAAAATAACATTTACATCGTCAGTGATTTTAATTATGCTTGAAAATATGTATGAAAAAGAAGAAACAATGGATTACGCTGTAAAGAAAGTATGATTGAACTTCTGATAAAAGTTCATATGCGACATCTTCTGAGAATGAATCACTGATCTAAAAGGAAAAAAAAAATACTTTTACATGTAACAAGTGGTTATGGGTGTCATTCAGCTATTAAAAAAAAATGTTCAAAATCATCAACCACGTCACACCAATCGGAAGGCACAAAGTCAGTCAAGAAATCTATACATTATGGGAAAGATGAAAATTAAAGCAACAGTGATGATTTTAGCAAAAGAAAAAAATGGAAAAAAACAGATTCGTGCAAAACTTTGATGACCGTTTAATATGTAAGAAAGCGTTTTTTTTTTCTTGTTTTTTTTTTAACTGATTATTGTATTAAATTAGCCCTGCTTGGACGTCGAGTTTCAACTCTGATATCTCGACACCCCGGATATCTCGACATTTTCTGAAAGTTCCGTTGACTTGTACATGACCTTTAGGAAAAAGTACACACGCACACACTTACACACACACCTTTCTGCTTTTAGAGAAAAAAAAACGTTTCTAATCCAATCGTGTGGTAAGAACCAAAAATACAACTCATGTTCTGTAATTTCAAGATTCCGAGAAAGTGATATTTTTAAAATAATAACTATGAAAATGACTAAGTCGCCTATGAAGAGAGTCGAGTACACCGATGGGGTTTCAAACATTAAATGGATATTGCTTAACTGCATTGCCATATATAAAAAAAATAAACGTGTGTTGGACGTATTATTTAATTATATGAACATTTTATTGTATCGAAATATGAAAAGCTAAGATGTCAGGTTAGCTGATGTCACGGAGGAAGATGAATAGGTGACCATAATTGCGTAAACATAAATTCAAGTCTCGCGAGATATTCAGTTTCAATTTCAGATTTAATGCAACTGTAATTCACTTTGCTCAAAAAAGCCCAGCTCCGTTAAATGTGCATAATTATATATATATATATATAGAAAAGAGCTAAGAGCAGTACAAGTATCTCTTTG